ATAGGTCTTAGCGATATTTTTTTGGATCTGTCTCCTCAGGAAAGGGAAACAAAAGCAAAAATAAACAAACGGGACACAAACTTAAAAGCTTTTGCACAACGAAGGAAACCATCAACAAAACAAAAAGGCAACATACTGAATGGGAAAAGATATTTGCAAATGATATGCAAGATAAGGGGTTAATATCCAAAATATATAAAAAAACTCATACAACTCAATATCCAAAAAAAAACCTGATTAAAAAATGGGCAGAGAATCTGAACAGACATTTCTCCAAAGGAGACAAACAGATGGCCAACAGGCAGATGAAAAGATGCTCAACATCACTGATCATCAGAGAAATGCAAATCAAAATCACAATGAGATACCATGTCACACCTCATACAGAATGGCTATCAAGTCTACAAACAAATGTTGGCAAGGATGTGAAGAAAAAGAACCCTGTACAATGTTAGTAGGAATGTAAACATTCCTACTGGAATGTTGAAAACATTCCACTATGAAACATTGAAATGTTGAAAACATTTTCCACTATGAAAAACAGTATGGAGGTTCCTCAAAAAACTGAAAATAGAACTACCATATGACCCAGCAATTCCATACCTGGGTATATATCTGAAAAAAACAAAAACACTAATTCCAAAAGATACATGCACCCCAATAGTCAGAGCAGCATTATTTACAACTGCCAAGATACAGAAGCAACCTACGTGTCCATCAGCAGATGAATGGATAAAGAAGATGTGGTATATATATACACAAGGGAATACTGCTCAGCCATTAAAAAAAATGAAATTTTGCCATTTGCAGCAACATGGATAGACTCGGAGGGCATTATGATAAGTGAAATAAGTCATACAGAAAAAGACAAATACTGTATGATATCACTTATATGTGGAATCTAAAAAAATGCAACGGACTAATGATACAACAAAAAAGAAGCAGACTCACAGATGCAGAGAACAAACTAGTGGTTACAGAGCAGGGGGGCAGGGGGCAATGTAAGGGTTGGGGAGTGGCAGGCAGAAACCACTGGGGTAAGATAGGCTCAAGGTATTGACAATGTGGGGAATATAGCCAATATTTTCTAATAACTGTAAATGGAAAGTAACCTTTCAAAATTGTTGAAAATTTTTAAAAATATGTATTTTTTTAAAAAGAAAGAAAACTTAAGGAAATAAACAAAAGAAAGAAAATATAAAAGGAAATCTTTGTGACCTTAGGTTAGGCAAAGATTCCTTAAATATGATACCAAAAATACCTCCCATAACAGAAAAGTGTTAAATTGGATATCATCAAAATTAATAACTTCCATTCTTTGAAATACTCTTTAGATATGAAAAAGACAAGCCACAGACTGAAAGAAAACATGTGTAAATCATATATCGAATAAATGAATTTTAACCAGATATACAACTGTCAAAAAATAAGAAAACAGACAACCCAATTTTAAAAAACGCACGCAAAATACACCAAATAATATACATGAATGGCAAATAAATGCAAGAAAAGATGCTCATCTTTAGTCATTAGGAAAATGCCAACTAAAACCATAATAAGGTATCATTACATACCTTATTAGACTCTAAAATAAAGACTGATCACACCAAATGTTGGAAATTATGTGGAACAAATGCAACTCTCTCATATACTGCTGGTAAGAATGTCAAACGAAACAACTTTGAAAAACAGTTTGGCAGTTTCGTAAAAAGAATTACCATATCACATCATATAGCTACTCAGGAGAAATGAAAGCATATGTCTGCATAAAGACATATGCATGAATATTCACAGCAACTTCATTTGTAATAGTCAAACACTGGAGCCAATCTAAACTGCCATCAATAGGTAAATGGATAAACAAATTGTGGCATATTCATTAAATAAAATACTACTCAGCAATAGAAGAACATACTAATTAATACACACGAATGAATTTCAAAATATTTATGCTGAGTTAAAGAATCCAGAAACACATGTATACACTATAATATACTATAACCCCATTTATTAAAAATTCTAGAAAATTAATCAATTTCTTGAAAAATCCTATTTAGCTTTCAAGACTCAGTACTGAAGCATCCCCTTCTTTTTGAAAACTAATCTGCAGTGAAGCAGATCAGCAGTTGCCCAAGGACAGAAATAGAGGCGAAAGGGAGATTTTAAAAGGGCAGAAGGAAACTTTTGGAGGTGATGGATCTGTTCATTATCTTGACTGCGTTACAGTTTCACAAATGTACACATAATTTACCAAAGTTATCAAATTGTACAGTTCAAATACATGCAGCTTATTGAATGTCAATTATATCTCAAAGTTACTAAGTTTTTTAAAAAGAAAGGAAAAAAACACCAATCTGCTCATTACACTGCTCTTTTTAATATCCTTTAAAGTTTCCATCATCACCTAACAAGGTCAAGTCCAAATTTCTAAGTATGGCATACAAAGAGTTTTTGTCTACATTTTCAACCTCCTGACTTATTACTCTCCCCATATCCTTTTTTAGTTCAAGCATTTCATACTGCGTGTTTGATATCTGTATGTCTTTGTGTACGTAATTTTCTGTATTCCTGAAACAGCCTGCCAGAATCATCCTCTTGAAGATATCCTATTTAGCTTTCAAGATCCAGACCTCAAATGTCTCCTCCGTTTTAAAATCTTTCCTGATACTCTTTCTCAATTCCTTAACCAGGCAGAGCTGGTTGTTTCCTCTTTGGTCCCAGCAGTGTTTACCTACCTTGCACTAATTCTTTATATGTCTACCTCTTTTCTCCACACTATTCAAAAGTAATGTAAATGTCTTGTATTTATAACCTCAATGCCTAACATGGCAGATGGTACAAAGTAAACACAAAATAATGTTTGTTGGATCAGACTACAATGAATTAAACTGATTTTCAATCTCATGACTTTCCAGACAGAAGATCATGATTTAGACCTAGTTGCTGTGATTCAAATAAATATGTTAAAGGCTTCATGTTTGATGATCCGATGCTTTAGAAACATTTTAATATATTTCCAGTATTCAGAAAAGTACAGATATTACTGTACCAAATATACCCATCACCTACCCAGACGTGTCATATCTTAACATTTCTCCAAATGTACTTCAGATTTTCTTCCTTTTGGGGGGCAGGAGTTGTCCAACATTATACATATAGATAACGTCCCTTGGGTATTCCTCCCAAGGCAACCACTACTCTGAAGTTGTTTATCACACCCATGCTTATGTATGCTCCTGAATAATATAAAGTATTGTTTTACTTTTTAAAATTTTATGTTGTGGTATACTGAATATATCTTTTCCCCATTTTGCTCTTTTCACTAAACATTGCATTTTTGAGATTTATTCATGCTGATGATACATGTAACTCTAGTTTAGTCATTTAAATTGGTATATAGTTTTCTAGTATATGAACAATGTTAGTTTATCAATCCTCTTTACAGCACACTTTGTTTCTAATTTTTCACCACAACAAACAACATAGCTTATGATGTCAGACATGTCATGTGCACCTACAAATTTCTCTAAGGAATTAACAAATTACTCTCCAAAGTATACCAATTTTTACTTCCATTGGCAGTGTATGAGAACTTCTATTGCTCCACACCCTTACCAATACTTAGTATCAACAGACTTCTTAATTTTTGCCAACCTATTGAGAATGACAGTATTTTCCCTGTTTTAAGTTTCATTTCCCCACTAGTGAGACTGAATATCTTATTGATAATTTATATTTTCTGTATTTATGTGTAGCCTTTGACTTGTTTTCTATTGATTTATATTTATATGTATAATTTTTATTGATTTACTATCAATATAAGTATATAGACAATATACATCAGAACAAATAAAAAATTAAGACTGCCTCAACTCTCAACTTCATACTTAAGAAGTATGTACCTCAGTTTCTTCCTCTGTAAAACAGGAATAATAACCTCACAGAAATGTTACAATGATTAAATGAGTTAATAACATACCTAAACTGCTTGGAATAGTGCCTGGAACATAGTATGTGGTATACAATTATTAACCACTAATATTTGTTTTATAAATCTTCTGCTAGTGGGCTTCCCTGGTGGTGCAGTGGTTGAGAATCTGCCTGCTAATGCAGGGTACACGGGTTCCTGCCCTGGTCTGGGAGAATCCCACATGCCACGGAGCAACTAGGCCCGTGAGCCACAACTACTTAGCCTGCGCGTCTGGAGCCTGTGCTCTGCAACAAGAGAGGCCACGACAGTGAGAGGCCTGCGCACAGCGATGAAGAGTGGCCCCCGCTTGCCACAACTAGAGTAAGCCCTTGCACAGAAACGAAGACCCAACACAGCCAAAAATAAAAATAAAAAATTAAAAGAAGGCTCGACATTTAAAAAAAAAAATCTTCTGCTAGTCATATTGGTTGCAAATACCTTCTCAGAGGCTGTGACTTATTTGTTACTTTGTCAAAGTATGTTTGTGGAAAAAATTCTAATTTTTTTTTTTTTTGCGGTAAGTGGGCCTCTCACTGTTGTGGCCTCTCCTGTTGCGGAGCACAGGCTCCGGACGCGCAGGCTCAGCGGCCATGGCTCACAGGCCCAGCCGCTCCACGGCATGTGGGATCTTCCCAGACTGGGACACGAACCCGTGTCCCCTGCATCAGCAGGCGGACTCTCAACCACTGCGCCACCAGGGAAGCCCAGAAATTCTAAATTTTAATGGAGTCAACTTTTCCTTTCCTTTGATATCTGTGTTCTTAAATATCCTTCTCTCCCTAATGCTCTATTTCTTTATAAGATAGGTCTAACTTTCCCTTTCATATTTTGATTTAATATCTCACTAAAGAAAATTTGACACGCTCAACTTTAAAATTATGTTAAAATATACTTCTAAATAACTTAAAAATAATTCTGTTCCCCAAGCAAAAATCCTATTTTTTTATTACAATAAACAATTGTTCCTAACCAGAGAAAAATTAAAATACACAACTATATACAAATAAAATAAATTTACAATTACTCTTACCCTATGACATCTTTCAAAGGCTTGCTTGGTTTCTTGTAAAAGATTAACCACCACTTCTTGGGATAGGAAAGTCTCTCCATGAGTATCGATACTTGGTCCCAGTGGTAAGTTGGTACGCTGTCTAATTCTCTCTTTCAAATCTTGAATACTAGTGCATAATACCAACAAATGAAAAAAGAACACTACTATACATAGATTTCAATTTTAAATACTCTCAAACTTAGTATACATGAACTAAGAAAAAGAAAGAAGAAAGAAAAATAGACCAACAGCCAGGAAACCTAAAACTTCTAATTTCAGTAAGTAGTTCTGTAAAGTGAAGCAAGCATTAATCTCTAAACAGAAGATGTTCGTCTGAAAATGAGTAGATTTGGAGTTATTATCTCTAAAGTCTCTTTCAACTCTACAATTCTGACTCAGTAGCCCAAAACTCCTTGTCTGGTTTCCTTAGGAAGTGGGCTTTTCCAAATAAGTTAATATTCCAGATAACTAAATGGTCCTGCTTAAAACAAACTTTAAAATTTTAAAGATTTTTAAACATATTAACCCTTTAAACATATTGTACATTTCATTATTATTAAACATAATTTAGCTTTTCTCAATGACTGAGGGTCATTAAGAACTTTTATTACATGATAGTATCTTTAGAAAATTACTTTATTTTTTGGTCCTAGAATATATAGCTCCAGACTGTGAACTAATTTTTCAAAAAATTCTTATGATTGTTTTTTAGATTTTCTCTTTTACTTGCTACTGCCTTTGAGATGTCACTTCTTATTCCTAATTATAATCTCTCCATGATCATTATTTAATATATGACAAACTGGGAAACAAGAAAATGATTTGGGTGTGCATTATGTGAACTGTCAACTCTGATTATATGGCTCCACAGAGGTCATTCTGATTCATCCAAAAATCAACTCAATTCCAGATAGTTGAGATCTAGATAACTGAGTTGCCACCAATTCTTACAGCAAATCATTTAATTTTATTCTAGTAGGTAAGTACATTCACGTTTTAATGTATTACTTAAATAATTTTATGCCCAAGTCATGAAAAAGCTCAGGGTACAAAATTGTGATCTGCATTTTTTTTTTAACCACACCTGCAATAGCAGCAATAAAACAATGTGCTTCCTAGTCAATAACCTGGAATAATTTACTCAGTCTAAAAAAAGGAAGGAAGGAAGGCAGGCAGGAAGGGCGCGAGGGAGGAACTCTTTACGGTACTAGTATTCTGCTTTACATTTTAATAATGTTATGTAGGAACATTTCAACATGTGACTTGAAGGAAAGGATTTGATGAATGGTGTAAACAAACTGAATTAAAAAAATTCTTCACAGAAAATTCTAATGACTATCAATATTTCACAAGTTTGTCCAAATATAATAGCTTTTAATATCTTTAGTTTTAACTATAACATTTAACAAAAACACTTACCCTCCTGTGCCAATCGATCTCTTTTGATGGTTTTTTGAATCATAATAGCGCTGTAGGATCATAGCACTTCTGCTTTTCAAATATCCAGTCTCCACTTCAATATAGTTCTCCAAATAGGAAATGAAAATGGACTTGATAAGCTTAGACAAGAAAGTCTGTTTATCAGTACCTAAGTTAAACTCCATCAACTTGCTGGAAAGATTTGTGGTTCTTTTCATGCAAAAGGGAGAAAAAAGATTAATGTATATTGTAGGTATAGTAACAATATTTAAGAAATACATATTTTTATAACGTGACTTTTTAATAACTTATGTTACACCACCATTTCTTAAACCCTGGGAAGTTACTCAGGATGCAGACAGCGACTGTACAGGGTTATATATATTAAGTAGAATGAATATTACAAACAACATCATGGTTTTGAAAACTACCATAAACTCCTAGAGATGACTCAGGAGAGGAAACTAAGGCAACCAACCAGACTAGAAATGGCAACAGTGGCAGAATGGCTTCAAGTATGCCATTCATGACATGGTACCCAAGTCAAAATATTGAGAAGTCTATGCGCTGTTCATTCTCTTTAGTCTTTGTCCCTGGACTTTCCTCTAATTTTCTGTTTCTCACTGTTGAAGATAGGCTCACAATAGTGCTGTTGCTGAGATGGACTTCCTGATTATAGTTACTTTTGAAAACCCTCTTCTCAAAGCGATGACAAGAAAAGCAATAGAGTTGGAAAAAAAAACTCCACATGAAGCTTCTACAAAGTATAACACTGCCATTTACAAAAGCACAAGACAAATTTTCACATCAGACTTAAGTCTGAAATTGTCATATAAGAGTTTGTCGGGCTTCCCTGGTGGCGCAGTGGTTGAGAGTCCACCTGCCGATGCAGGGGACACGGGTTCGTGCCCCGGTCTGGGAAGATCCCACATGCCGCGGAGCGGCTGGGGCCGTGAGCCATGGCCGCTGGGCCTGTGCGTCCGGAGCCTGTGCTCCGCAATGGGAGAGGCCACAACAGTGAGAGGCCCACATACCGCAAAAAAAAAAATAAAGAGTTTGTCACTCTGGGGGCTTCCCTGGTGGCGCAGTGGTTAAGAATTCACCTGCCAATGCAGGGGACACGCGTTTGAGCCCTGGTCCGGAAAGATCCCACATGCCGCAAAGCAAATAAGCCCATGCATCACAACTACTGAGCCTGTGCTCTAGAGCCCGTGCTCCACAACAAGAGAAGCCACTGCAACGAGAAGCCCGGGCACCACAACAAAGAACAGCCCCCGTTCGCCGCAACTAGAGAAAGCCTGCACGCAGCAACAAAGACCCAACACAGCCAAAAATAAATAAAAATAAAATAAATAAATTTAAAAGAGAGTTTGTCACTCCCTTTCTCAACTTTTAAAGTTTTAACTGCAGATAAATGTAATAATACTAGTTCTTAAAGAAAAGAATTAAAGAATAATGAACTAGCTTACAATTAAAATCAGAAACAAAATTCTCAAGTCTTAAACAAGGTTTTTATATTTCATTAAAGTACATTAATATAAAGCATAATATCCAATTCCTTAAGTTAACATGCTAAGAATGCTGCTCTTGTACAATACTAGTCTATACAGCCGAGTATTTAATGCTAAAAGGTATATTGCTATCTGACAAACTGTTATTCAAAAATACCTGAATACTTCCCCATTTTCTATTTGAAAAAAAGAAAATGTGAGATATTACTATTTTCTAATAATTAAAAATATACCTTGTATATAAATCGTAGAGACTTTTGAGATACTGCTCTGCATCGGACTTCCTACATTCTTCTAACTGGTCTTTCACAAAGCTCTAAAACAAAAAGTCAACATTCTGTCAATTAAGTAAATATTAAATTATATAGTCAATATTTTTTTCTCTAGAATTACTCCACATTCTTGAACTGTTCTAACTTAAAATCCAGTGGAAAAGGCAATGCATAGAAAAGAGACCAATATAAAAAAAAATAGGTTTTTAATTTTTACTGCTTCTCATATTTACTCATACATCTTATCAGTGTTGGGAATAAGCATTAAGAATCTCAAATACCTTGTCTTTTGAAATCTGCCTATCCTGCCTCATGAAGTACATTGGGGAAAAAAAAAAAAATCCCAAAAAACAAAACCTGAAGCTGTATCAATATGGTCAATTCCTTAAAGCAGCTTTTCCCAAACTGTAGTCTAAGTAACACTAGTGTCCTTTGAGACACTACTGTAAAATTGGGAAATGCTGTACATTACATCTCCATTTCTAGAGAATCACAATACATATTAGTATCTTTAAAGGCTATTAAAAGTCCTGAATTGTGTTGTAAAGACAACACTTATTTAATGTTGCTCAATCCATTGGTAAACATAGTTTAGGAAATGTTGCCTTAAAGTACAGAGCTATGGAAGTCAAGGTTGTAAATGAAATTCCTGTTTTCTTTTAATCTTAGTACCATATTATAAAAAATTCTACAGATTGAGCTTGTAATTCCTGTTCAATTTCAAAATGCCATCTATTGGTTAAGGTAAGAAACCAATAAAAATTAAAACTGAGGCTAACCTACCACACAACCTGATACATATGTAATTTCAAACACATCCTCTGATGACACTGAGTGATTAGCACCTTTTTTCTTAGTAAACAACAAAACATTTTTTTTTTTAAAGCATGACACTGTCATTCCTTTCTCCTACACTTAATAAGTGGATTACTATGCCTAAGGATATTATACAAACTAAATTTTAAAAACTTTTAAAACATAGAGGATAAAAATCACATATTGCCTTAAGTACTTAGTCATTGTTTAAAATTACCTGTAGTTTGATTTCAAATACATTTTGAATAAGTTTAGCCAGTACTGTTTCTGGATTACTAAAGATATCTCCAACTTGTTTGTTCACCCGTTGACAGAGTATTGCTGCGTCTTCAAATATATCATTTCTCAAGTAAGCACCCTAAACAGCAGAGGAAATTTACATTGAATATATGATTTTAAAATGCTTTTTAAAAATACAAATTAGCATAAAATACAATAAAGTGTACTGTTATGTTACCTCCTGGCACTGCTTTATATAAACATCAACACAATGGGAATAACCCTAGGAAAAAGAAAGAAATACATATCACTCTTTTGGTTCAATTATAACAATAATAACAACCATGTCAATAAAGAGGTATTATATGTAATAAAGCTATGTCTATGCCTCAATAAATGGCCAACAGTAATAGCTACTCTCTGGTTCCTATATTCCAAACTTAAGGTCAATCTTTCTTGCTTTTGAATTATTTCATCAAATGTTTGACTGAAAAAAAAAATACATTAAATACCCAGAAGGCAGACAATATGATTTTCTATGTCAAACTACATAAAAATTCAGTGATAAAATATTAATCTTATTGAATATAAGATCCTTATTTAAATAATATTACCTAAAATTTAATATCATTTCTGGAGAAAGATACAAATGTACATTCAAATTATTCCAAATAATGAAAATTATCACTGACTCATACAACTGGGGAAAAAGAGAGACTATAATATATAGAATTCATATAACCTCTGTACTCTTTAAGACTAATCTGCATTTTAAACTTTTATTATTTACCTTAAAATGGAGTAAAACAGCTGCTACTTCTCTCATTCTGGAGATTTCACCTCTTCTTTGAGCACCAGTAAACTCCTGTATCAGTTGGCATTCTAAGTCATGGTATTTACCTAAAAATAGAAAGTCATTCAGCTACAATGAGACAAAGTATCCAAGTTATTTATGAGTATATGGTTTCTTTATAAATATAATGACTAGGAATCTAGTTTTCTTTTAAAAGAATTGCAAAAACTATATGAGATTATAGGTAGTGGATCAAAACCCGATAATATACTGTGGTATATAAACATGTATTTTCAAAACCAAAAAATCTTCCCAACTGGTAAAACAGGTGAGCTCCTACAGTGTGACTGCCATTTATCACTGCTATGTAAAAAAGCAGCTGGCTGGCAATATCGTTCTCAATGGTGAAAAACTGAAACCATTTCCTCTAAGATCAGGAACAAGACAAGGTTGTCCACACCCACCACTATTATTCAACATAGTTTTGGAAGTTTTAGCCAGAGCAATCAGAGAAGAAAAAGAAATAAAAGGATTCCACATCAGAAAAGAAGAAGTAAAGCTGTCACTGTTTGCAGATGACATGATACTTTACATAGAGAATCCTAAAGATGTTACCAGAAAACTACTAGAGCTAATCAATGAATTTGGTAAAGTAGCAGGATACAAAATTAATGCACAGAAATCTCTCGCATTCCTATACACTAATGATGAAAAATCTAAAAGAGAAATTAAGGAAACATAGCCATTTACCAACGCAACAAAAAGAATAAAATACCTAGGAATAAACCTACCTAGGGAGACAAAAGACCTGTATGCAGAAAACTATAAGACACTGATGAAAGAAATTAAAGATGATACAAACAACTGGAGAGATACACCATGTTCTTGGATTGGAAGAATCAACAATGTGAAAATGACTATACTACCCAAAGCAATCTACAGATTCAATGCAATCCCTATCAAACTACCAATGGCATTTTTCACAGAACTAGAACAAAAAATTTCACAATTTGTATGGAAACACAAAAGACCCCAAATAGCAAAAGCAATCTTGAGAAAGAAAAACAGAGCTGGAGCAATCAGGCTCCCAGGCTTCAGACTATGCTACAAAGCTACAGTAATCAAGGCGGTATGGTACTGGCACAAAAACAGAAATATAGATCAATGGAACAGGATAGAAAGCCCAGAGATAAACTCACGCACATGTGGTCACCTTATTTTTGATAAAGGAGACAAGAATATAGAGTGGAGAAAAGACAGCCTCTTCAATAAGTGGTGCTGGGAAAACTGGACAGCTACATGTAAAAGAATGAAATTAGAACACTCCCTAACACCATACACAAAAATAAACTCAAACTGGACTAAATACCTAAATGTAAGGTCAGACACTATCAAAACTCTTAGAGGAAAACATAGGCAGAACACTCTATGACATAAATCACAGCAAGATCCTTTTTGACCCACCTCCTAGAGAAATGGAAATAAAAACAAAAATAAACAAATGGGACTTAATGAAACTTAAAAGCTTTTGCACAGCAAAGGAAACCATAAACAAGACAAAAAGACAACCCTCAGAATGGGAGAAAATATTTGCTAATGAAGCAACTGACAAAGGATTCATCTCCAAAATTTACAAGCAGCTCAATATCAAAAAAACAAACAACCCAATCCCAAAATGGGTAGAAGACCTAAATAGACATTTCTCCAAAGAGGATATACAGATTGCCAACAAACACATGAAAGGATGCTCAACATCACTAATCATTAGAGAAATGCAAATCAAAACTACAATGAGGTATCACCTCACACCAGTCAGAATGGCCATCATCAAAAAATCTACAAACAATAAATGCTGGAGAGGGTGTGGAGAAACGGGAACCCTCTTGCACTGCTGGTGGGAATGTGAATTGGTACAGCCACTATGGAGAACAGTATGGAGGTTCCTTAAAAAACTAAAAATAGAACTACCATACTACCCAGCAATCCTACTACTGGGCATATATCCTGAGAAAACCATAATTCAAAGAGTCATGTACCACAGTGTTCATTGCAGCTCTGTTTACAATAGCCAGGACATGGAAGCAACCTAAGTGTCCATCAAGAGATGAGTGGATAAAGATGTGGCACATATATACAATGGAATATTACTCAGCCATAAAAAGAAACGAAATTGAGTTATTTGTAGTGAGGTGGATGGACCTAGAGTCGGTCATACAGAGTGAATTAAGTCTGAAAGAGAAAAACAAATACTGTATGCTAACACGTATCTGTGGAATCTAAAAAAAAAAAAAAAAAGGTTCTGATGAATGTAGGGGCAGGACAGGAATAAAGACACAGGCATAGAGAATGGACTTGAGGACATGGGGAGGGGCAAGGTTAAGCTGGGATGAAGTGAGAGAGTAACACTGACATATATACAGTACCAAATGTAAAACAGATAGCTAGTGGGAAGCAGCTGCGTAGCACAGGGAGATAAGTTCAGTCCTCTGTGACCACCTAGAGGGGTGGGATAGGGAGGGTGGGAAGGAGACGCAATAGGCAAGAGATATGGGGATATGTGTATATGTATAGCTGATTCACTTTGTTATAAAGCAGAAACTTAACATACCATTGTAAAGCAATTATACTCCAATAAAGATGTTAAAAAAAAAAAAAAGCAGCTGCCTGGGAAAAGCCTTCTGGATGTCATTTGTGATAGCAAGAGACAGGAAAAATCTTAAACCTGAATTTATGGAAAGGGTGAGCAGAATTATAAAACACTTTACTAGAGTTCAGATGCCTTTACTACAAACAATGGCAGATTCAATACCAAGGTACACCTTAAGACAACATGTGGTATTTGATTCACTACATTCTTGAGGCTATTACGGTACACTTTTGGGAAAACAGGTGGTCTCTGAACTTCAATGACTTCCCAAAACAGTGACTTAGACTACCACGGGAGCCTGTAAATATAGCAGCTTTTAAAGAAATTCAGAATGATCTGCTTAAAATACAATCCAAAGATCAAGAATCAAGCTATCATGTAAGAAGTTAAATAGGTACCGAAATGGTCATTACGAGCTAGCTTTAAAAAAAGAGAACTACATTATGTCTGTATGTATGAATACAGAAACAATCCCCAAGATACATTGTTAAATTAAAAACACAAGGTATGGAAGCTATTTGTATAGTATGCCAAGAACACAAGGTATGGAAGCTATTTGTATAGCATGCCACCAATTATTTTAAAATAAATGCGGACAGCAGAACTAAATTCTACACATTATATACATGATCTATGTCTTATGCTTGTATATCCATAGAATATTCTGGAAGAATACTCAAGAAATTGATAACAATTGTTTCAAGGAAGAGGAATCAAACTCAGGGATGGGGTGGGAGGATGACATTGTTCCCACTCTCTTCTTTTACTATTTTCTTTTTTTTTATACAAGTAGTTTGATTACCTATCCAAAACAGTTAAATAAATAGAACCCCACTTACTTGCAATTTTGGATTTAACTTCTGAAAATCTGAAAGATAAAAACCAATGATGAGGTTCATTATTTGTGACAAATGTACCATAGTAATTTAAGATGTTAATAAAAGGGGAAACTGGTTTGGGGGGTACATAGGAACCCTCTATACTAAATATTGTCAGAAAAAAAAGGAAGGAAGCAGGGGGAGGCAGGGAGGGGAGGGAAAGACAAAGCCAGAGGTGAGAGAGTACTGATAGTAGGAAGCATGCCATGTAACAAAACTGAATTTGGGCAATCCAGATGGGGTCTCTGGTTCTCACTGAGGAAATTCACATTGAACAACCAATTCCCCCACCCCGTTTTTTAAATTTTTTAATTTATTTTTTGATGTGGACCATTTTTTTTTAAAGTCTTTATTGAACTTGCTATAATATTGCTTTTATGTTTTGGTTTTTTGGCCCAGAGCCATGTGGGATCTTTAGCTCCAACCAGGGATCAAACCTGCACCCCCTGCATTAGAAGGCGAAGTCTTAACCACTGGACTACCAGGGAAGTCCCACCAATTCCCTTTTAAAGGGAGGAATTCTGTATGAGGCATTAACAACCCAGAAAGCCCCAACAACTGGGTTACTGTCCCTACTCATATTCACTGGCATTTTAAATTCACTTGATATTTGTCTATTTTCCCCTCAGCTGGGATTTCCTCATATGACGTTCCACTATTGTTACTTAAAGAAAAACAACTATAAAATAAGCATATACAAATGAGTTATTTTAAAACTAGAAAAATAAAATAGAAGCCATAAAAAGGACCCAGCAATGTGCCTAGCATTCAACCTCTGCAAATTCAAAAACTAAAATATCATACACTACCATACACTAGAACTTTTTTCAAATCATAAGTATCCAGGGGGAATGCACAACATGGAAAATTAATGCTGAGAGATCTTATGCGATTAGTTTGAAGAGACAGGAGAGTGGCTGGCAAAAGAGATGCCAAAGACAGATGAAGAAGCTAATAATTTAAAGATCTATATAAAATTGATATCAAAGTCACAGTGGATCACGAAGTATGATAGGCCATACTGATCTTTGTGAAAAAATTAAACTTGATTAGGCTATATAGTCAATTCTAAGGCCTGATAGGCTAAAACAAAACTGTAAGAGAAGCATGTAATTGAGAAGCAGGAGAAGATGAGTATATGCCTCTGTGTTTGTAGGGGTGGGAGACAGATGAAGCCAACAATTATGATGCAGTTATTGTGAGCCACATATTTTACCCATTTAAGAAAATGGTTTAACTCTGAAATAAAGTTAAAGAGAGGTTTTTTGTGAGCATTTAAAAATCATTGCTCATAATGCTGGACAAGTATGAAATTATTAATAATAGCTAAATGATAGATGATGATTACTGCTAATCCTTTATGATGATACAAAGTTCAGAGTAAAATAAGATATATTTGGGGGTAGGGAATTCACTTTCACTCTATGTTTGGGACATAATGGACAAGCTTTAAGTATAGCAATACATTTACATTCTACCTGTACCTCAGGATTTTCAAGTATTACCAAAAGAATAAAATACGTATATTATCTGTTAAAAGGGAAGACATTTTTTCCAGATATTTAAATGGGAGAACCACCGCTAACAAGATTTTATTATAGAGTCTGACATTCCATGAACTAAAGGAAATCATGAAAGAATTTCCTTCTCAGTGAAGTTCTTTTAGGATGAAACCATTAATACCTAACTTAGCAATGGCCCCAGGGCCTTGCATCTAAAACAGGACTTCTTAACCTGAAGTCCCTAGGAAGGAGCCTACAGATAGGCTAAAGGGTCTAAAACTCCATGAAATTGTATACAACGGCCTGTGTATCTGATTTTTTTAAGGAAATTTCATAGCTTTCACCAGCTTTTCAAAGGTGTCCAAGACCCCTAAAAGCTTAAGAATTCTCATGTAGACAGAAGAAAAAGGAGCTCAAGAGCCCCATGTTTAAGCTTTCTCTGTCCCCTTCTAGTCTGTTGATCAAAGTCCAAAAAAAAAAGAAAATTCAAAATCTTACTCTAATCTCAAAATTCTCCATCAATTTTTTTCAAAAGAAAAACATAAGATTGAAATTATTTCAAGATATATCATTAAATTTAGTTGTTAAGATACCACATTTTTTTCAATCAGCTATTACATACTGTACCTGTACAAAGGCAGTCCTCAATAAGTTCTTGTTGAATTAATGAGCAAAATCATACAGGAAAAAGTACAATTTTATTCTATACACTACACCATATACCCAAATTAGCTCTTGAGAAATAAACTTGCCTATCAAAAGGTAACTCTTGGGCAATTAGGTGCAACTTCTGAATGATGTCTGCTGCCTCCTTTATCTATTAAAAAACAAAAGCAATAATTTTACAAAACCTTTATACATATCAAAAAATAATTTTATATTTAAAAACAGTAATATTCTTCTATGTATGCCCACAGACCCTCACCCAAACAATTTTCTTTAAAAAACACAACAAATAAAATCTTATGAGCAACAGGAATACATCTGGGGTATCACCAATAATGAATCAATAAAACATAAATATTTGTCATTATTGTACTGAAATCTTGTGATTTTATAATGCAACAATCCCTTCCCAATGAAACCTGCAGTTCAAGTTTACTCCGAATAAATTCAAATCATTGACTGCTGAAAGCAAGTTTAAGTATCTTTTGAGTTTGTGAAATGATAAACAAGATTTATAAAAATTCAGATCATACTGCTGTATAAATCCCATTTAAGTGAAGAAAATAACAACAAAATGCCTGTCATTTAATGAACATATCAAGTTATAAAACTTGTTATAAAAGCAAAGATTACGTTTAATATGAAGTTTCTAGAATGGAATATGGTAAAGAAATGTTCGTACTTATTCAAGTTGTGGAACTGAAGGATTTAGGCAAGGGGTCCAAAATTCTTAAAATGCAGACATTTGTGCTTATTCACACTAAATGTATAGGGGAGTTATATAATGTTTACTTTTAAAAACAAATTTCAAATAAGTATTGAGTTTTATTTTGGCACACCTTTAAGTAAATGATTTTATGATCATTCACTTTCTTTTACACTAAAAAAAAAAAGAAGAGAGAGACTCATACAAACGTGAAGGAAGAGCTGAGAACATTAACAAAGATCTTTCTAACCGAGTACTCATGTGAAGTCTGGCAAGCAACTATGGAAAACAAAAGCAGGACCAAACGATATTGTTGTTTTGCCCAACAATAGTGAATGCAGATAGCATTTCTGCTTCAGTTATCTCTTCTCTCCTAGTCAGCATGTCACTGTCATTTTCAGTTACCAGATGTTCACTCTATTCTACTGAACATGGGCACAGATACCACTGCATTATCTCTTTTCACCATGCCATTTGGTTGTACTAGCAATGTCCACCCTTTTCTCCTCACCGATACTCCCTTCAGAAAGGACCTACATACATGTTTTATGTTCCTATCAGGAGTTTGTTCTTGTTGTTTCAAGAGATGGAAGTGTTTGCAAACTTCACTTAATATAGTAAGAAGTACAGCAGAGTAAATAACACTTGATTTTATGGAATTCCCATAGGTAATTATTTTATAAAAATTGTTTCAAGCACAAGTAGCTCTTAAGGTCATCCATCAGTTGAAATATACTATAAAAGTACAGAAGCTTTCAAAACCACAATCTAATAACTTGCTTATATCTGCTACTGATGTTAGGGTAAGGTGAGAGACCACCCATGCTAACAGGTTAAAGATAATCAGGGCCATCAGGCATTATCTACATGAAGAACATTAAGTTGTGATGCTAAGAAGAGAAACAACTAACATACTCTGTAATGACAGAGGTAAGAGGGAATATATACTATGGTCATAAAATGGGTTTTTTTCCCCAGAGAAGAAAATTAGAAGATTCTGAGAAGCAAAGATTTAAAAAAAGCAAAAATGACTTTGGAGCAGGAAGAAAAAGGAAAAAGATGGTTGTTATCTTTTCGCATTCTAATTCCTTCCAAAATCACACACCTCCCTAACTACATGGGTGATTTTCCTTTTCTTTCCATTGGGAAGGTGGCTGGCACACAGTGCAGAAATTGAGATACTTAGAAGTTTATCTAATAATTAGCAATCTAATACCATATATGATGTTCCTAAGTGTAGTTAACTCTGATAGTACCAGGCCAAAAGTAATGATTCAACAGTAACCCAAAACTTATGGGAGATATGAGAGAAAAACAAGACAACTGGGAAAAGAGGACTAGAGTATAAGAAAAAAGGAACAAGATGAAAGAAAATGGGATATGGTAGACAGTGAAGCAAAGGAGAGAAAATAAGAGGAAGTAGCTTAAGCACTGTTAGCTCTACTTGCTCTTCAAAAATTACAGACAGCTAATGACCAAGTGAATGAAGTAGCAAGAATATGAAGATTTCTTCTTCTTCTTTCAATCAAAATCTTAAAAATTAAGAGACAATAGTAATACCATGAACTACACAATTACTTGATAATTAAAATGTTTAAAGAGAAGTGTAAAAAACATAATTTCATTATGCAAAACATTACAAGCAATACAAATCAGGATAAAAATATGTGTAATCATTCAATTTTAAAATATTTATTTTTCTCTAGATTCTAAATGGCTGCCTTGAGCTGCATCAAATAAACAGACCAACTCACACTGGGTAAAATATCGGCATTTTCTTTTAACAAAACATAAATATACGCTACAGTCCAACAGGTATAATCCAAGGTAACCCAAGGTATAAGACTTGAATTATATACCATTTTATATATATATATATAAATTTTTATATGTATAAATATGTACTTTTATAATACATTAGAAATATGTATGTTTATATTTAGGAAACATAAAATAAAAGCATTCCATAAGGTATCCTGAAAAACAGTTCAGTGTTCAAGTCGTGTGTGTGTGTGTGTGTGTGTGTGTGTATACACTATTATACATAAAAATCACGTGAATATATAAAAGCTAGATATTGCCAGTATTTTACAAGTGTTTAAGTATGATAATGTTCTTGATGTTAATCTTATCAGTTCTACTTTATATTACAAATGTAATTCCTGAAACTCATTATTTAAAATACTGCCTTTTCTTTAGAGGAGTTACCTCTACATATGTAACCATTCCTTTTAAAGATCTCTAAAACTTATAAATTCTATACCCCTATATAGTTCCTACTCACAAAAAAATGTGTTGCTTAATTCAAAGTGAACTTCAGTACTACTTAGTTTTTAAAATTTCACTATCTGAGCTATCCCATGGAGTACACTCAGAAAAATTCTGGAAGACTGTATTCAACGTATTAGTGGACAATGTCACTATGTGCATATACCATCCATAAGAATGTCTATTTTTTCATGCATTTTGATTTTTTCCCCCGAGGGGAAGAAAGTGAGCTAAATAACCTCTTCCAAGATTGTACAGCAGCCAACACCATGCAACCTTAGACCAGGATTAAGTGACTAGTGCTATAAAAAAGATTAACATGAACAATTAATTCAGATTTTTCTATTCTCTTTGATCCAAAGTATGCTTTAATTCTTTGTAAAAGATCTTTATTCAAGTAACGAAAACTAGAAGCTCTGAATTCCTTGCACAGAAAGATACTTCAGCTTGTCAATGATTTAGGTCAGCCCACCCCCTCACCCAATGGAATGTGCCTATCAAATTCTGTTAATATTAAAAGTCAATTATGAGAAAGAAATATTTATTAAAATAGTTACCTCAACATTTCTAAACAATACAAATTTCATAAACAAAAATGCCAGGCAATCCAACTAAAAATCTGAATATATATAGTTGATCAGTAATCTGTAGATAAGTGTACATTTCAGAATAAAGACTTTTAATAAGTCACCTACTCAGTGATTTGAAGTCTGACTCTGGAAAGTAATAACTGCAGTTCATAATTAGGGCATTGTTATTAATGCTATAATTTGCTTTTATCCTTCTGACAGTGCTCACCTTTTCAGAATTTGTAAAAACATCAGATTTCAATTCTCCATCTAGAAACTCATTAAAGTATTTCATCAATTTCTGAGCCTCAACTGCCCGTTGTCTGGGTGTGTTTACCCCCTCCAACTGGTCTCCAAGGTGACAGACCTTGGTTGCTACATAGCTGATGTGCTCATCTAGTTCCTGGAAATGTTGGAAGGCAACCTAGGAAAAATGTGAACAAGCATAAAATACAATCAGAGAACCCAGATTAACTACAAATACTATCATTATTACCAAGGGGAATCTGCATTAGAAGTATTTGGAATCTATCACCTTAACTACTTAAAAACACATTATCTTATGTAAATTACTGACTTTATTATTTTCTAACAGTTATACATGCTTAAGTGAAGGAATCTAAATATATGAAATCTGAGCAGAAATCAGCTTTCTAACCCCTAACACTAAAGAACAAAGAGCCCCTGGGAGGCAGCAATGCTAAACATGCTCTTCTAACTACATTTACAAAGGGCAATCAAGTTCCACATCAGGTCCAGGCTGTGAAAGAGGTTCAGAGGTTCCAGATTAAGTTTAGGGCCTAAGAATGGCTAAGAAGCTTGGCCTACTTACCCCAGAGTCAGTCTAGAGATCTAGTTTTACTCCCAAATGGTCTGAGGAAGAGTTCTGCACATGCTTTTCCCAGTTACACCAGCATTCTCATTAGGGTATATACCTCATGACTTTTGTGAAGCTTCCCAGACCAGGTTTCCTCTAGGGAAAAACTTCATCCAGGCAATAGTTGGTCTGGTATTATTATTTTGCTTTATGATTAAATGAGAATGCAAATAAATACCTAAATATCCAAGCTAATCATGATCCCCTAAAAATACAGGTCTACTGAATTATCATTCTTAGAAGTTTGCACTGTTAAAGAGAATGCAAGGACCACACTGTAATGGATACCACCCCATCCTAAGGGAGTACTGTGATCCCAAACCAACACTCAGTAGGCAAGCAAGTGCACCAAGAGTGCCTGATAACAATTCATTAACATTTTATCCCATGAGATGGGAGCAGTATAAAGAAACCTCAACAATTCTGTTGCATTAGATTTTTTTTAAAAAACTGAACACTGAAAGGAAATAAAGATATTAAAGTCTGTATAAACTACTCATTATTTAACTAACTGTTTACCTGATTGCTTTTCTGGAGATCTTGTACCTTCCTGGCAAATTCCTTAGCTTCTTTCTGACACTGTTGCTCTAGTTTCTCTACTTTCCTTTGAATCCTTTCATCCATTATCTGGAGTTCTTGAATATGATTTACAAATTCTTCTAATAATCTAACAAAGGAAAATTAGAATATGTATCAATCCATCTATAACTGATCACTAGGAAGTGACCAGTTCACTTATAATTGTAAATAAAGTATTAGTGAGCATTCCTTGAGGTAAGGATGAACATGTTAATTTTCTCTTCAGCATCCTGTTAGGGATTATCTCTGACATAAATGAAAACCTCATATGGAATCTCCATTAACCCCCAGAATTGAAATCAATTTTATAGAAATAGTTTAAAAGGTAAATCGTACTATATCAAAATAATACTGTGCATTCCAGGGTATGGTGAATTTTTGTTCCCCCAATTTACGATACTTAAAACAACATATTCAACATGTTTTATTTTAGAGGTATAGCCAGCCATTTCTAATTTATTACTAATAGGAGAAAATATTAAATTCTCATAATGCAATAAAATCCCTTCCCTCATATCACTTAAAGTCCTTCTCTAAAATAAAAGAAACATAAAAGGAAAAAAATAAATCTCAAACTTCTAATGCTTCTTCCTTTTATTGGCCAGTTGTTAACTCCCTTTACATGAATGTTGAAAGGAATTCCAACAGTCACCTCTATTCCAGATACAAATTTGTACTAGATTGGGTCTATGAAAAAAAAATTTTTACTTTACCTTTTAGGATCAAAAGCTTCAGGTCCCCCTCTAGAGCCTCCTCCTGGGGTTCTCCATACAAGACGTTCAATATACTCATCTGCCACAAAAGGCTCCTAGTTTACAAAATAAATGTTCCTTTAAAAAGTTTCACAGGCCATGACTTAATACTACTTACAAAAATGAAACAGTTTGTACCATGTGAGAACTTAAAATTAAATTACTAATTAAATATATCTGTATTATTAAAATGTACAGGCTTTTTCAATTTAAAAAATCTTCAATAAACAAATTACTTAATGAAAATTAGTATATTAAAATATTAAAGAGTATTATGAGCAGGAACATACCAAAGGAAAAATGAGCAAGGGACACAAACAATTTATAGAAGAAATACAAATGGCCAAGAAACATGAAATATATACAGCTTCACTAGTAATCAAATAAGGTCAAGTTATCACTTTTTTTTCTTCTTTTTGCCTCACAAACTGACAAAGTTTTTCTTTTTCCTTAATTATAATATGCATACAAGAGAGGGTAAGCTGAAATTCACTCTCATTATTGTTAGAAATGTTAAAAGGTACAGTATTTTTGGAGGACAGTAGGTAACATTTTGGTAACATCAAAGTACTACAAATGCTCATACCCTTTAACCCCAGTAATTCTACTTTTAAAATTCTAAGGGAAAAAGCAGATATGAACACAAAATTTTTGTATTATATATAACTCTGAAAAAGTATTACACAAATATTCAACAAAATCATTATTGAAAAATTATAGTAAACTTACAGGATAAAACAATTATTTTCCTATTAAAATCATGTTGTAAAAAAATTTAATGAAATGAGAAAAAAATGCTCATGTATAATATCTGATATTAGAAAAGCAGGATAGGACTTCCCTGGTGGCGCCGTGGTTAAGAGTCCGCCTGCCAATGCAGGGCACACAGGTTTGAGCCCTGGTCGGGGAAGATCCCGTATGCCACAGAACAACTAAGCCCGTGCGCCACAACTACTGAGCCTGTGCTCTAGAGCCCTGAGCCACAACTACCGAAGCCCGCATCTAGAGCCCGCGAGCCACAACTACTGAAGCCTGTGTGCCACAAGCAAGGCTGATCCATCTAGTGTCAAAGCCAAAGATCTAGCTTAAGAGTGACAGAGACCAACTCTGAGCTCCTAAAACAGCCCCATCCTTCAAGTAGGCTAATCAGCCATGTGGTAGCAAGTTGACTACACTGGGCTTTTTCCATGCTGGAAGAGTCATTCATTCTAACAGGAATAGAAACATTCCAAATTGAGTTTGCCTATCCTCTGAGGAAGTGTTTGTTCTCCTGGCATAGGATCTCACATATCAGACCATGGGACCCATTTAACAGCAAAGGGGGTGACCATGGAATCAACTGGTCATATCATAAACCATACCACCCAGAAGCTGCCAGTCTGATAGAGCACTGAAAGAGCCTGCTGAAGGTATAACTGAACTACCAGTTCAGAGACAATACTCTATAAAGATGGAGCACTATCTGCCAAAATGCAGTATACATTCTGAATTGAAAACTTTTATATGATGCTCTGTCCCCAACAGAAAAAACACATGAGCCTGGGAACAAGGAATAAAATCAGAAGTGGCCCTGCTCATCATGACTCCCAATTTGTTCTTGCTATTCCTGCAATTCTAAGGTCTACAGGGTTAGAGGTCTTAATCTCCAAAGGGGGAATACTTTTGTATGGGAACATAATTAAGAGTCCCAATAAACTATAACTGCAAGTGCTGCCTGGGCATTTGGCTGCTTTTATCCAGCAAATAAAAAACAAGAAGAGGAGTGACCATCTTTGGCAGGGCAACTGACATCATCAGAGGGAGGCAGGGTGGCTACTATACAGAGGGGGCAGGGAAAAATATGTTTGACACACAGATCTCCTTGTAAGGATCTTGTGATACTCCCTTGACCAATTCTGAAAGTACACGGACATGTGCGCAGCCCCGGCCTAAGAAGAGTATGGTAACCAGTTAAGCCACCTAAAGCAGCAGACATACTAGCTGAAGGTGAGAGGGAGTTAGAATGGAGAGTAAAAAATGGAAAGTGATATCAAGTTGCAACCTGAGACCACATGCAACAGTAGGGGCCATAGTTCATCCCACTAACCACCTTCTAATTTTCCTCCAGGATAAGAACCCCAACTGGAGTCTAGAGGAGGAACCCCCCAAATGTATGTGAAGACATAGAGTCTAGTGGCACAGGGGTGGTCTGAGGTGGACACGTGTCATCCAGATCTCCCTTCAAGAAGGGTCTTGCTCTAACTGCTAGCAGTGCTGTCAGCACAGAACCTTCACCTGGCAGTATTTTCAGGGATCCACTCAGCTGCAGAGAGCCACTTCACTCAATGTCATACTTTTCTCAATGTGGTCTATATCCAATGACTAAATAAGATGGGGATATAAAGGCCTGACCACTTTGGTAAAAAGCAGGACAACTCTGATACGTAATTTTAGTTCCAGATCTTCCCACAGGGATCATCACCATTATCACTGGGCCAGCATTGTACTGCTACTTCTCCTAAGGCCCAATCTTGCTTCTTTACCCTGTCCTTTCACATGTGTTTATCCCAAGCGTACTTTCTAATAAATATTCCGCACACTAAACTCTGTCTCAAAGTCTGCTTCTCTGGGAAAACCTGCAACACTGTACTAGTCTAGTCAAGAGATGCTAATGACTCAGATGAAAGTGGCAGTAGAGGGGGTACTGTGATGTGGCCCGGTTCATGACATTTTAAAGACTGTACTCACACAAAGTGCTGATGAATTGGATGTGGGAGAAATTTTAAAAAGGAATCATGATTACTCATAGACGTCTGCAGCCTGAACAACTGTATGAATGGTAAATGGTGCCATTTAGTGAGAATGGGGAAAGAGATGGAAAAGGGAGTAGGGATGTAAGAGTTCTATTCTGCATATGATATGTTGAAGATGCCAATTAGATATACAAGTGAATATGCAGAAGACAGAGTCAGAAAAATAAGTTTGTATTACAGGGAAGAAACTGGCATTAGACATAATCTTAGAGTTATTTAAAACCTCAGAACAGGATGAGATCATCTAGGAAGAAGAAGGGCATGCCAACATGTGGAGATAGGAGGAGGAAAGGGATCCAACAAAAGACAAAGTAAGGGGGACCAGTAAAGCAGGAGGAAAACTTAGGAGACAACAGCATCCTGGAAGCAAAGTTCAGGTTTCATCTGCAGAAGCAATCAAATTATCAACAAGAGTTTAAGATAAATCAACTACTGATTCCAATGGAATGGAAGTTCCAAAAAAGCAAAAAACAAAACAAAACTTTTGCTGCTTATAAAACCAAATAAATCCCAATAATTTACTTTCTAATACTTAGCATTGCTGCAAAGGCATTTACAATGAGAAAAAGATAGTCAAATTAACAAATTCTCCAAGACCTCCAAATGACCAAGTCCTCCTAAGAGGATTCTCAAAGATACCTGTAAACTATTACCCCAAAAATCTTTTAGAATTTCGTGAACCTGACAAAGGTATATCTTAATCTCTATTTTTCTGTAGTAATTAAAAGCAAACAGCCAAAACAAAAACAAAAATCTAAGTGTGTACTACAAAGATACTATCATATTAAATTCAACTTTACATAATTGATTACTGTGTTGATCTATTAAGCTGATTTCCTATTCTTTACAAATGCTACCAATTGTAATAAAAACTTGGAGTTTGTGGTCATTTCTATTAAAAATTAAGACCTCAAGCCCTTGGACAGGAACATAAATCCCTAATTTAACATTGTTTCCTTGAGAAAATCCAACCAAATGTTTGTATTTTCTTATAGTAGCTTTCCCAAAAATAGATCCAATAAAATATGTTACAGCCACCCACAAACTCAAAGAACCTATAATATTTTCGCTCGCTTAGATTAAAAAATAAGGCTCAGGGCTTCCCTGGTGGCGCAGTGGTTGAGAGTCCGCCTGCTGATGCAGGGGACACGGGTTTGTGCCCCGGTCCGGGAGGATCCCACATGCCGCAGAGCGGCTGGGTCCGTGAGCCATAGCCGCTGAGCCTGCGCGTCCGGAGCCTGTGCTCCGCAACGGGAGAGGCCACAACAGTGAGAGGCCTGCATACCGCATAAAAATAAAAATAAGGCTCAGAGGATTTCAGAGAGAAGTATTTCTGTGTCCTATTAAACCAACTAACAGGTGGGTTCAAGTACTTCCTATATAAGGTGCTTTTCTTAAATTCATTGTGCAGACCACTGCCAAACTAATCTTTAAAACACTATATTCCCTTTTAGTCAGAAACTTCCCTATGCAATTCCTAAACTATGAAGTTTACACTCTTAAGTCTGCCCTTGAAGTTCTTATATTACACTACCTAACCAAATTTCTTTGCACCCCAAAATGAACAGGTACACTACCAGCAGCCTCCTCTAGTCTTCTTTTCAAACCCATGCTACTTCTGCTTCCTTACCTGTGACCAGGTAACTCAACCTACAAGGATACTTATGGGGAAAGGGTTCTTTCCCTAGATGATCTCCACTGATTTCTTTACTCTTAACCCCTATGAGGCTTAAAAATTCAAATGCCAACACAAAACAATATATTACTGCCATTTTGTCATTTATTGTTTTATAGTAACATTTGTAAGTTTTTCTCTTCTCCACAATTAAATTGAAAGCAAAGTCAGGATTTGTCATACACTTCTCTTGCTTTCCAGCTGTGGTCAATAGAACAATGTTGAGCACACCATAGATGCACAATATATCAAACCACTTGTTATCGGGGCCATGGCCAAATCCCCTGCACAGGATCTTGAAAATCAAAACTTGCTTCATAGATCCAAAACCAAAAAGGCAGTACCACCACCCTCCACTCCAGAAATAAAAAAATAGGCATTCTATGGTGTTATAAATCCAAGATTCTACCAGAAACCAAATATGAACTTCATGCAATTCTGGCATTGGAACTAAATGAATTTTATCACATTTGGCTCTCCTTTTAACCACACTTGATTTGATTTTCATGAGACTATGTGTTTCATGGTGGATTTAAATGAATTACATTTATTGAACACTGATTCTTTTGAAAAGCACTACAAACGTTTC